AGTATAATTTAGGCATCGGTTTCAGGAGCTAAATGAGCTCTAATTTCTATGATTTTGTGGCCTGAAAGATAAAACAAATGGGCAGTACTTTGACCCTTTTAGAGAAACCTCTTCCAATGAACACTGGTCAAGGGAAGGCTTTCAATAGTTTTAGCTCTAAAAAAAAAACTGCTGTGATTCCAAGTAGAAATTAAATTGGAGCTGTGTGTGTATGTGTGTGTGAGATGTGACTACAAAGTAATCAGCCTGATTCTATAAGCCTCACGTGAAAAACCTATAGCATAACTTTACAGTTATACTCTTACAGAATTTTCATCATAGCTCTCCTTCATGTACATTGTTTCTGCCTAGAATAAATGATTTGACCAAGAGAGAGTTTTGCCAAACATGATTTCTGAAACAATGTTTTAGCTGTTTCTGTTACTCCTTTCCACTGACAGGGCCATTTCATCTTAGTCCTACATGTAAGAGGAGTTTGAAAAATGAAAAAAAACAAAACAAAACAAAAAACAAACTTAAGATACTCTCCCGCCCTTTTGTTAAAGGATAAACTGGTTTTTTAAAATGCCTAGTATTTTAAAATAAGTCTCTTGATTCCTCTGTAATTTCTAAAGAGTCTTAGAGAATGCCTGGGGACCCTGAGTGTTAAATGACTTGTCCTTGGTCAATGAGCTAGCATGTATTAGAAGCAGGATTTAAACTCAGGTCTGCCTGACACCAAGGCTGCATCTCTATCCACTAGGTGATGTTGCCTGTCAAAATCATTGTTTTCTGAAAAACAAAATCTGAAATTGCGAAGAAATACAATGAATGAGAGAGGGAGCTCAATCCAGTGAATAGATGGTCAGCCTTGGACTCTAGAAGACCTGAGTTAAATTTCTGCCTCTGAAATCTAATTAGCTCTGTGACCTGAGGCAAGGCACTTAACATCTCAGTGTCTCAGGTAGCTTTCTAGGACTATTAGTTGGTGGGTGAGTTGCAGATCTTCAATAACAGAAAATTTCTAAGGGAGTTCCTTTCATCCATGAAATCACAGGGACCTCCCTGCCCAACTCCATTCCCCCCTCCTTCCTCCCCCCAATGAATAGAGAGTAATTTGTTTACCAGTTACATCTAAATGTCATAATATTTGCTCATAAACTCATATTTGAATTAAACAACTAATGTACTTTTTGGTTAATTTAATTATTTTCCATATTCCATCCACTCAAAAAAAGAAATGTGATGAGGGAAACAGAAATGTTGGCATCTCTGGTGTCAAGCTTGAAAAACTCCATACTGCCATCTTGTGGGTGCTGAGGCTCTGACGGCTGAGGAACTATCAGTCTTGGACCGAAGAAACAATTCTCGGTGTACAACGTCATGTAGTTTAGGGGAAGGCAGGGGAAAACATGATTAAGAAATATTTCTTCCCCTGCCTGATCACTGGTAGGTATGATCAAGGACACTTTGCAGCTGGGATCCCTGGAGAGGAAGTCTTTTCTTTTTTTTTTTTTCTCTTTAAATGGTTTTGTAAGAAGACCATTACATGTCGTGTGCTGCACTAAGCTGGGGTTATGGGTGTTGGTTAGCATTTCTTTCTCCAGGATAATCAGGCATTATGACACAGCCCTTTTAGAGGTAACAGTGGTGGTGATGGGGGAGAAGGGGAACGATGCTTGTTTTTACTAGCACACTTAAAATAATGTTTCATATTGTTTGTTTGTTTTCCCCCCAACCTTGTTTTAGTTCCTGGTCTCCTCCTCTCCTTGGCAGTCACCCTTGCTGTATTTTGCTTCTGGCTCAGTAGGTGGGCACGTGTCCCATTCACTTGAAAGAAAGCCATCATTGGTTTAAAAAACAAAACAAAACAAAACAAAACAAAACAGTATTCTACCCATCCTAGAAAGGGTGGAAAGGCAGTCTCCCTAATTCAGACTAGGCCTCTGATGATAGGGTAGCTTTCTTCCAAGTTAGCTTTATTTCTTTATAAGCAGAATTGACAGTTGTGGCCCTGTCTGCATAGTTATACCCTATCCCTCCTCCCAGCATCTTCCTTTCATTTTCTTGTTTTTTCTCCCCTCTGCTCTGCCTGGGGACTCTTACCAGTCCTCTAGAGATGGAATACTGAACAAAGCCCCTGGATCCTTGCATACCCTGGCAAAAAGGCTCAGGGTAGTGGCCAGCACATTTCTGGGGAGCTAAAAGAATGTGGCCCAGAAAGCCATAAGGCAGAGCAGCCTCAGAATCTCCCAGGAGGTCGCTGGGGAGGGATCCCTAGGGCCCCATGCTAGCAGGCAGCTACATGGTGTGACTGGGGGAAGGGCTCACTTGTCTCAAGATACCTCCCTAACTTTCAAAATTCCCACCTAAATCTATTCCTTTAATTTAGGATAGCAGTTCTCCAAATACGGTCCAGGGATACCCAGGAGTCCTTGAGATCTTTTCATGGGATCTGTGAGGTCAAAACTATTTTTATTATAAAACTAATACATTTAAATTTCTAATATGGTAAATATTGAGAGATATAACCCACATAAACAAGAGCTCTTTGGGGAGGGGGATCCTCAATTTTTAGGAGTATTAAAGGGTCCTGAAGATGCAAAGTTTTGAGAACTATTGATTTGGAATATATATTAAGGGACCATATATGTAGGTGTGAGTATGTGTGTAGACACATACATATCTGTGTGTATAAATCTAGGTATATATCTATATAGATATATCTATGTCTACATAGATATCTATGTATCTCGAAATATACATACAGATATCTATCCACAAACAAGCTTTCTCTCTCTGTCTCTCTCTCTGTCTCTCTGCCTCTTGCTCTCTCTCTCTGTCTCACTCAGGAGTGGCAGCTAAATAATCACCAGCCATTAGTTTTTCACTTCAGCCAGGTAGTGCCCTAGGGAATGGAGTAGAACAGGTAAGTTTTTATGGGGAAAAAGGCTCTAGTCCTGTGCCTGAAGGCCTTTTCAGTCAAGACTATCCTGATGTGTTAAGGCAGTATCCAGAGCTGTATCCAGCAATCCTGGTGCCCAAGAAAGCAGCATAAGAAGTTTATAACAAGTTCGAAATTCATGATGCAGAAATAATATGGACTGGGCCTCTAATTTCACAGGTAGAGGAAAAGTTCTGTACGTTCTCTGACTGGCCCAGGGTCACATGGCCAGTATGTGTCAAAGGCAGAATTTGAATGGAGGTCTTCCCATTTCTCATGAGGCCAGTGTTCTGAGACCTCTCCACCACTGGGACAATGCTCCTGACTCCTCCCATTCAACTAAATTCATCTTAATTACTCCTTGTATTTCTTTCACAAAAAAATAATTAAAGTAAATTTAGTTGAGAGGAAAGGGAAGAGAGTAGGGTATAGAATTCTGAGCGCTGGTCACTCGTGGAAGTAGGAAATCTTGAAATTGGAGAGGTGGGAGGTGAGTGGCAGTGGACAGACAGGGATTTTGGAACACCTTGAGAATGCTATTGGAGAGCCTTGGAGATAGGAGTGAATGGACAGAGGTGGGGGGGAGCAGGCCTGCAGAAGTTCAATCAGGCCATCTGGTAGTTTTCCAGTTTAATTATTCTTGTTAACTAGGTGTTAAATTCAGTTGTTTCTGCCGATGAAAGAGTGAAAAGTGTTGGCTGAATGTAAATATAACAAGTTAAAAATGTAAAAAATATGCTGGCTAAATGTAAATATAGCAAGTTAAAAACCATTTAAAATTTTTTATTTAAAATTTTTCATCCCTCTCTGAACGTTGCTGCCCTGGAGAATATCTCCAGCTACTCCACCTTAATGGGGAGAATATTGGAGATGGTGGGATCTTCCCACCCTTTCATTGGTTGGTCACTTGACCACCCTCCTTTGGGGTCATTTTATAATCCTCAATTTAGTGACCACTGCCTTAGATACAGAGAATAATAATAATGGTGGTAACTAGCATTTATATAGAACTTACTAATGTGCTAGGCATTGTGCTAAGTGCTTTTTATAAATATTATCTCATTTGATCCTCACAACAACCCATCATTTCTGTTTTATAGTTGAGGAAACTGAAGCAAACTGAAGTTAAGTGATTTGCCTAACATCACACAGCTAATTAAATGTCTGAGGTGAGGTTTGAACTCAGGTCTTCCTGATTCTAGGCAGAGCACTTTATTTCACTGCCTATAGTTGCCTCTAAGAGGATCATAAGCCAATAATGGTAGAGTCATGGATAGAACCAATGTCTTCTAAGTTAGGAGAGAGAGACAGAGAGACAGAGAGAGAGAATGAGCATGCATGTTCCTGTGTTTTGGAGGTTGAGACGGGAAGATCAATGTGCTTTATATAGATGAATACACCCACCCTACACTCCAGTGTTTTCTCTATCTCCCATGATGCCTGGAAAGCTTTCACTTCTCATTGCTACCTCTTGGCTTCCCTGGCCTTCTTCAAGTCTCAGATAAAATCCCATTTCCTACAGAAAGCCATTCCCTAACCCTCTTAATTCTAGTGCTTTCCTTCTGAGATGAGTTCCAATTTATCCTGTATATAGTTTGTCTGTACATAGTTGTTCAAATGTTGTCTCCCTCATTAAATTGTAAGCTCCTTGAGGGCAGGGGCTATCTTTTACCTTTCTTTTATCCCTAGCACTTAGCATAGTATATATAGGAAGTGCTTAATAAATGCTTATTGGTAGGGGTAGCTAGGTGGCGCAGTGGATAGAGTACCAGCCTTGAAGTCAGGAGGACCTGAGTTCAAATCCGGCCTCAGACCAAACACTTGTCACTTACTAGCTGTGTGACCCTGGGCAAGTCATTTAACCCCAATTGCCTAAAAAAACAAAAACGAAAACAAATAAATGCTTATTGGATGATTCAGATAGACAACATTTCTGACACAAGAGCTTCACAGACACATGCCCATACCGCATGTACATGAGACAGCTTTGGGGACCTCATGCAGAGAGAATTCCCCTTGGCATTTACCATGGGCATTTGAATGCAGGGGGTTCCATAAGAACCAGCTCACCACTTACCTCCACCAGGTCTGGAGTGAGGCGCTTGGCCTTCAGCCATTTTTGGACCCTCTCTGTTTTCCTCAGGACTCTCTCAATACTGCAGTTCTTTGAACTGGAAACTGATGCACAGATTCTCCTGTCAGAAAGTTCATTTTGGTATTTACTTATTAGCCTGGAAATCTCCACTGGGCGCCAACTTTTGGTATCATCTGAGTAGTTTGCAGGGTAAGTGGAGTAGTAATCAGGAGGGAGTTTGAGGTGGGAAGCAAGCCAGTTGTCAAACCTGCAAAAAAGAAATTCCTTTTTAGGATTGGCCAATTGGATGAAAAGCTGCACATGCATGTGGGGTGGGGGGAGGAGAAGGGAGAAGGGGAGAATGGGGTGGGGAAGGGCATTGTTATCCCTTTAGAAATGAGAGAGCTGGAAGGGACCCTGGGGAAGAGCAAGTTGAATCCCCTCTCAGTCCCCGCTTTAGCTTTACAGATAGAGATGAAGAGGTTTGTCCACCATCATATTAGCTTGGAAGCTGGATGCTATAAGAAGTAGGATTAATGCTAGATTAAAATAAGCCTACCCAAAACCAAATACACTGAAGGAAAGAAGAAGATGAAAGAAGTGGAGACAGGGTAGAATGAAACTTTATCTGGTCTCCTCTGAATTTGAAGCTAGACAGGCTGGACTGAATCCTGACTCGGTCACTCACCAGCTGTGAAAACTTGGACAAATAATATCACCTCTCTTGACCCCAGCTTCCTTTTCTGTAAAATGGCCCAGAGAATTGTTAAGGTCCCTTCCTGCTCTAATCAATAAGATCCTTCATCTCTAGAGTCCTTAAGACCTCTGCAAAGAAGGGTTGTTTTTCATTTCCTTGAAAATTTTGAGCTTTTTGAAGTGAGGCAAGGAAAGGGTAGAGATGTCTATGTTTACAGGTAAGTCCCTAAATAGGACATCAGGAACTGGAAGAGGAAAGAGGATGATAAGAAACAAAAATTACCCTATCTTGAACCAATTTTAGGACACTGGTCACAGAATCCTAGAATATTAAAATGTCAAATTGAGTTGGGGGAGATAGAGATTCTCACAGTGTGGTCCATGGATCCCTAGAGGTCCCAGAGACCCTTTCAGGGGGTCTGTGAAGTCAAAACTATTTTCATAAGAATATTAAGATGTAATCCTTTTCTGACTATATATCTCCGTGAGGCCAAAACAAACCATATATTACAACAGATTGAATGCAGAAGCAGATATGAGAATCCAGATATCTTTTATTAAGCCGGAAATTAAAGAGATTTGCAAAAATATAATATATAAATATTTTTAAAATACCATTCTTCTAATTAATTTTTATTTTAGAAAATATAGTTATTTTTCATAAAATGTTATTTATATGAACATGTTATTATTTTATTTGTAAATATATTAGTAAATATTTTAAAATTTATCAGTTTTAATTTCCAATACAGTAAATGTCAAAAGATATAATTCACATAAATAAAAGCTGTCAGGGTTAAGAATGTAAAAGGATCCTGAGACCCAAAAGTATGAGAACTGCTGATCTAATACAATCTCCTTCATTTTATAGATGAGGAAGGTAAAGCCCAAAGTGATGAAGTGATTTGTTCAAGGTAACGCATCTGGCCACAAACAGATCCAGGATCAGAAAGTGCAGAGGGAGGCAGTGTCATATAGTGGGACTAGAGCTGGTTTGGAAATCAGAGGACATGAGTTCAAAGTCTTACTCTACAACTTAACTACCTGTGTAATCTTGAATATGTCACAACCTATCTGGGCTCATCTGAATTAAAAAAAAAAAAAAAAAGAAGTTGGACAAGATAATCTCTCCAGCTCTAAATTCTAGGAAATATTTTGGTCATTCCAGAAAAAGAACTGATGAATTCTGAATGCAAATTGAAGCATACTTTAAAAAAATTCTTTATTTTTATCTTTTAATTTTGCTTATATTTTCTTTTGCATCATGGTTAGTATGTTTGGGATGACTTCACATGCATAATTGCAATCAAAATGCTTGCCTTCTCAAGGAAGGGGGAGGGACAGAATTTGGAATTCAAATTAAAAAAATGATTGTTAAAAGTTCTTTTACATGCAATTGGGGAATATTTAATGAAGTTTGGAAAATAAAACATTTTAAAAAGGGAATATTTTGGTCAGTGACCTATCCTGACTTCTCTGAGGGCACATTATAGCAAGTCTCTCTGGCAGATGAAGAAACAGAAACTCAGAGATGTTGTTTTTGCCCCCAGCCTCTGTGGAGGATAACCCTGTGGTTGAATGGAAGTTGGGAGGCACGAAGGTTACATTAGGATCATGGTATTAGAGGTATAGGGGACTTGGCAGGCTTGTCTGGTCTGACTCTTTCATTTCACAAATGAGGAAACTAAAGTCCAGAGAGAAGAGAGGCAGTGTGGTCCAGTGGAAAGAGTATTGCATTTGGAGCTAAGAAGATCTTATCTTGAATTCTGGTTTTCCCTTTTATTACCTGTGAGTGACTCTGATCAAATCAATCACAACCTTTCTAGCACTCAGTTTCCACTACTGTAGAATGGATGGGCTGGATCAGATAACCTCTAAGGTCCCTTCTTGCTCTAAATCTACCATCTTGTGAACTTGACCAAGATCCCAAGGTGGTAAGTAGGACAATACTCTAACCAGAATTTATTCCACTGTACAATGCTGCCTCCTTCGAGTACCTGCTGCAGATTATTGAGGTCTGGTTGGCTCTTAAGATCCTTGGTCTGGATTAGAATTTATTATGTAAAGAAAGAAGGGTTAGCAATCATGATCTCAAACAAAGTTAAAGCTAAAATAGATTTAATTAAAAGAGAAAAATAGGGAAACTACACTATGTGTCACCAATATTATTCAATATTGTTTTAGACCATTTAAAATAACTAGACAGTATAAAATACCTGAGAGTATCCCTGCCAAAACAGACACAGGGACTACATGAACATAAATATAAACACTATACACATAAAGTCAGACTTAAATAATTGGAGAAATATTCATTGTTCATGGGTAGGCAAAGCCAATATAACAAAAATGACAATTTTACCTAACTAATCTATTTATTCAATGCCATCCCAATTAAATTACTAAAAATTATTTTACTGGGTTAGAAAAAATTATAACAAAATTCATTTGGAAAAACGAAAGGTCAAAAATTTCAAAGAAACTAAGGGGAAAAACGTAAACGAAAAAGATTCAGCAGCACCAGACTTTAAACTATATTATAAGACGGTAAATAAGAAAACTATTTAGTACTGCCTAAGAAATAGAAAGGTAGATCAGTGGAACAGAGTAGATATACAATACACAGTAAAGGACTGTAGTAACTTTATATTTGACAAATGTAAAGATTTAAGTTTTTGGCGATAAGAATTCATTATTAGGTAAAAGTTATTTGGAAAGCTGGAAAGCAGTCTTGGCATAGACCAATATATTAAACCATGTACCAAGATAAGGCTACAATGGATATATAAACTAGGTATAAGGGGAGATATCACAAGAAAATTAGAAGAACATGAAACATATTACCTATCTGATTCATGGATAGGAGAATAATATATGTATAAAAAAGAAAAGACAGCATTGTTGAGGTGTAAAATGGGTAATTTCAATTATATTAAAAAGTTCTTGTATAAATAAAACCAATGTAGCCAAGATTAGAAGGAAAGCAGAAAAACGGGGGGAAAACCTCCATGGATAATATCTCTGATAAAGGTCTCATTTCTCAAATATATAAAGAACTTTGTCAAATTTACTAGTATGAATCATACCCCAATTGATATATGGTCAAGGGATATGAACAGGCAGTTTTTCAATGAAGAATTCAAAACTATATATAAGCATGTGAAAAAATACTCTAAATCATTATTGATTAGAGAAACGTAAATTAAAACAACTTTGAGATATCATCTTACACCTATCAGATTGGCTAAAAGGCTAGATGCCTTTCAATTGGGAAATGGCTAAACAAGCTGTGGTATATGTTTGTGATGGAATACTACTGTGATATAAGAAATAATGAGCTGGTTGATTTAGAAAAACATGGAAAGACTTGGACCTGTGAAAGAAGATGCCATCTACCACCAGAGAAAGAACTAACAAATTGAAATATGAAGAGTATACATATATATATATTTGTGTTTAATTGTAGCCTTCTGGAGGGAGGTGTAGGGAGGGAGAAATAAAATAAAATAAAAAATGAACAGCAGAGAACAAGAGAAAACCTAGAAGGAAGCACAGAAAAGCTGGGTAGCTTCAAAAACAATGTGTAGCATTTATTACATGGGTTTAAAAAAAAAGTAAACAGTTTAAAAATAGAAATTTATTATTTTATATTGAATCCTCTCTTATGTTCTACTGTGTACATAAAAATGTCCTTTCCCTCCCTCATTTTGTATTTAAGTTTAAAATGAATAAAATTTTTTTTTAAAAAAAGATTTCCAGTCTGCCTTGGCAAAAAAAGTTCACACTTCAAGGTAGTGTGGGAGAAACTGAGAGTGAAGAAGAGGGAACAAAGTCTCACCTCTGCCACAGGTGTGGTTAAGACATTTATTCTGAGCTTAGTGGAAAGTAGTTTAAGATAAGCATGTAGGTATGGAAGTCAATGCCAAGGGCTCATCTAGTTCCGGGTCTCAAGGCCAGGAATATCTAGTCCTGGTTCTCTGAAATGTTATAGGATAGCATGAAGTAGCACTAATATACTCCTTTCTTCCCAAGTACAGCTATTTAGGGGTGTACTGGAGCCTGATTGAACAAACTAAAGGGGAGTCTATTGTTAAATTTTGCAGTGTGAATAAGCATTTACAAGTCAGAAATCAGCAAATGCTACAAATTGATTTGTAGCATTGATTTCTTATTTTATCGATTATCTGACTATTTATTGATTGCCTAGATTTAAGAAAGTGATGAAGAAAATGATAGTAATCTAGATTAAACTGAAAAGTGTCTTTGGCACACACATCCCTCCTTACAGCCCATTGTTAAACATTTACCAGCATACCTCTGCCTCTTATATATACATATTTTCATATCTGTCAAATTTGGGTAGATTCTATCAGCCTCTGGGAACATTTTAGATGATACAGAATCACAGAATATCAGATCTAGAGAAGACCTTAGAGCTCTCATTTTGGAGATGAGGAAATCCAGAGAAGGAAAGTTAGAAGAACCTTCTATTTAATTATTTTGCATGTGTGTATACATTTATATGTATTTATTCACTTTTTATTTATGCTACATATATTTTATATCCATTAGGCTATAAGTCACTGTGAGTAAGGATCTTGTCATTTTTTGTCATTGTATGCCTAGCAACTAGCCCAGTTCCTGGCACATGCTTGTTGATTGATTGATGCATCCAGGTCCTCTGATTCCAAATTTTCAGCTCTCTACTATGCCACATTTACAGAAAGTTCTTTCTTTCAAAATGATCACTCAATAAGAATCTTTATTTAAGTGCCTAGTATGCACCAGGAATTTGAGGTAAAAGATCATCCAGCAATTTGTCAGTTATTCCCCATGGGCACCAAAAACCTTTTAAATCTTGTTAGAGGTGGACCCAGGTAAGACTTTGTACTTTTTTTTATTACAGACATGTGTAGAAATTGATTATTTTATGGCAAACTTAAATCTCCTTAAAGGGGAAACCCAGGTCCATATTTTTGCCCAGCATCAACTAGAAGAAGCCAGCCTTAATTGTAGGAGAAAGACAAAAGAAATGCGAGAATTTTCACTCAGGAGTTTTTAAAGACCTTAGGTCATTTATCTGGGAAAGAAATTGAACCACAGGAAAACATTGCAGTCCACCTGTTTCTAGCAGCAAGTGTCCTTTGTATACAAAACTTAGCATTGACTAGGTCTTCTCACTTCTATGGACCACATCTCGGAATGGGAAACTTGCCGGCGTTAGAAAATGATTCTGTTGTGAGCTCAGCTGTTGGGCTATGGCTCTATACAAAGCAGTGTTATAGCTGTCCAAGGCAGGCCTATTTATAGAAAGGAAATGTTTAAATCTCTGCTTAAACGTCCTCCCCACCCCCAGTTTTAAATGTCATATTGAAGGCTGAAATCTGGCTCAGCTCCCCCTATTTTCCAAACCATTGCTAGGATGATTAAAAGGGATTAAAACAACTCTAGCCCATAAATTTCATACTGCTTTGTCTTTAGCAAAGGTCTTGGGAATAGAGAGGTTGGTTTTTTTTTTTTTTTTCATTTCATAATTATTTGACTGAGTTTCTGACCTGATTTCTTCTTTAAAGAACTTCTTACAAATGGATGTCCCGATGCAGGCGTTGCATTTATCGAGTCCCAGGAAAGTCCGGCCAAAATTGTAGCTAGATTTGACCCGGGGCACCAACGACGGAGCAATGAGAGCTTCAGAAGAAGATACGCAGCTCAGGGTCACACACTGCAGCAGGGTCAACAAACCTAGACAGGGAGAACCCAAGGGACAGCTAATCAAAGACTCCATCTACTGAGACTGGGCGTCCTGCCTTGAGGCTATCTGCTGCTTACCCAGCTTTAGGCTGGCTGAACCTTAGGGTAAAATGGTGAACCGACCCACAGTCACTTGAATTAAAGGATCAGATGCCATCCCAATCCTGCGGATGAGTTTCTAGGTTTGGGGGTTTGGGTGGGAAGAAGCTTGGTTCTCAAGGGGTTGGGCCGGAGGACTGGGGAGGAGGTGAGGAAATGCATGGAGGATGCTGATAACACAGGTTTCCATAGTTACTTTTTCCTCTGCTTGGTGCAGCTGCTTTGACTTCTGCTGACCCTCCCCTCCACAGACTTGGGAAACACAATGGTCAGGGCTCATCCATGGAGCCTGAAGTGAAATTGCAGGATATCCTGATGGAGCAGGAAGAACGCGTACAGGGCTTGTGACCCTCTGAGCTCTCCAGCAGAGAGGAGTCCCTTGATTTCCCGGAGGATATTTCAAAATGATTTAAAGAGGCAAGCCCTGGATTTAACCATGAGATTGTCAGGATCTGAAGGATTTTGAGAAAAGAAAAACAACCCATGTAGTGGTTCAGAATGTACACAGTCTTGGAGTCATGAAGACAGGGGTTCAAAACCCACCTAAAAAGTTTACTAGCTGTGTGACCCTGGCCAACCTACTCCACCTGACACTAGCAGGTGTCCTTATCTGTAAAATAGGGCACTAACATAGCACTCATCTCATAGGGCTGTTGTCAGTCTCAAATGAGATAAAGCATGTAAAGTGTTTTGCAAATCTTAGGGCAAGAAATGGGAGTTATTATTATTACTATTATTGTTATTATTATTATTGAAAAATTATTCCTCTCCTCTTGTTTGGTGAAGATCAGGTAGAAATTGTTCTGGGACAAGTTGCAATTTTGCCTTTATTCTTTACACAGTAAAGCATCAGGAGGCAGCCAGATGTTTCAGTGAATAGAGCCCTGGGCCTGGAGTCAGGAAGACCTGAGTTCAAATCCCATCTCAGAAGCTTCCTAGTTGTGTGTCCCTGGGCAAGTCACTTAATCTCTGTCTGTAAAATGAGCTGGAGAAGGAAATGACAAACCATTCCAGTATCTTTGCCAAGAAAACCCCACGGACAGTATGGTCCATGGGGTCCTGAAGAGTTAGACACCACCGAACACCAACAAAGCATCAGGACAGAGATTCCTCTTCCACAGGTTCATTAAAATTATCCTAAGTACAACTCCATTAGGAGACAGAATGACAGGTATGATATGTATTACATCCTGTTTCATATAATTTCTATTTCAATTACTATATATTTATATTGTGAAAACTTTCAGTTCCGTATATCTTAGAGATTATGATTTGGTAGGACAGCATCTTTTTAAAATGTTGTCTTTTTATTAGAGAAAATAGAACTACAAGCCTTCTGAATGGAGCCACAAAAGAATGTACATATTTCATGGCAGCACATGAACATTTGCAAAAAATTGCCAATGCATTAGAACACAGAGAAAATGCAAATAATGTAAAAAGGCAAAAATACTAAACACATCCTTTTCAGACCATGGCACAATTAAGAAATCATTTTTAAAAGACACAAGAATTAAATGGATTAATGAGATAATATTTATACAAAGCACTTAGTGTAGTGCCTGACACAGAGTAGGCCCTCTATAAATGCTTACTTTCTTTCCTTCCTCACTCTAAATTTTATTTTGTTCAATGATAAAGCATTTATTTTTTCTCCCTCTCATCTTTCCTCTCCTACTATAAAAAAATCAAAATGAACCCTTGTAGCAAATATGTATATGTAAGAAAAAAAAATCTCATTTTGGCCATGTCCAAAAATCTTTGTCTCCTACATATTAGTCCACCACATATGTCTGTCTGACAATGGGTAGTATTTTTCATCATCAATCCTCTGGAATCATGGTTAATCACTGCATTGACTGGAATTCTTAAGTCATTCAAAATTGATCATTTTTTATAGTCTTATTTTTATAAATTATTTTCTCAATTCTGCATATTGTTTGTATGTTTTCCCAGGTTTCTTTTGAATTGTTTCTTTCATTATTTCTTAAAGGAAAATTCCTTTGCACTCACATATCATAATTTGTTCAGCCCTTTCCCAATTGATGGACACTCCCTTAGTTTACAATTCTTTGCCACTACAAAAACAACTGCTATAAGTATTTGTGTACGTAGAGGACCTTTTCCTCTTTCTGTAATCTCTTTTGAGCACACTAGGGAGTTAATGGCTTTCCTTCTAATGCTGCTAGGTTCATTTGCTTCTGTATTTTGTGTACCTAATCTGATTCACTGATTAACCTTTGTTTTTTAAAACAGTGCTAACTTGATTTGATGATTACTGCTTTTCAGTATCATTTCAAATCTGGTTCTGCTAGTTTCCTTTTCTGTATGCTTTGTTTTCCTAATTTCCCTTGAAGTTCTTGACATTTTGTTCCTCCAGATAAATTTCATCATTATTTTTTTCTAGCTCTGTAAAGTAATTCTTTGGTACTTTGATTGGTATGATGTTGAATAAGTAAAGTAATTTAGGTAGTATTATAATTTTTATTATATTAGCTTGGTCTACATATAAACAATAATTTCGTAATTATTTGGATTTGTCTTTATTTCTGTAAACAGTGTTCTTAATTGTATTGTTTTTGTGGACTTCTTTTATATCCTGCAAGTTTGCTGAAGTTATTGTTTCAATTAATTTTATTTGTCTCTCCAGGGTTCTCTAAGCACATACCATCATATAGTCTGGAAAAAAAATATTAAAAAAGGCTCCAAATCACTAATAATATAAGAAATGTAAATCAAAACAACCCTGAGGTTTTGTCTCACATAATGCAAATTGACAAATTGACAAAAATTAGACTAGTAAATATTGGAGGATCTGAAGATAGGTACACTATCGGTGGAGCTGTTAATCGGTTCAATCATTCTGGAAAGAAATTTGGAATTACACAAATTAAGTGACTATAATGTCGATACCCTTTATCCCAGAGATTATGCTATCAGGCTTATACCTCAAGCAGACTATGGATAAGAAGAAAGTCTCTGCATGCAGTAAGATAGCAAGAGTCATTGAGATGGCTAAGAACTGGAAACAACCAAAGTAGAGGCCAATTGGTTGAGGAATGGATAGACAAGTTGTGGTGTATGAATGCAGTTGGGATGTTACTGTGCTGTAAGAAAGTATCGATGTGATGATTACAGAAAAGCATGGGATGATCTACATGAACTGATTCAGTAAAGTAAGCAGAGTTGAGAAAATAATATGCAAAATCACTACAATAATATAAATGGAAAGAATAAAAAAATCAAAAATTAATGTTGCGAAATTAGAAATAACAAGCATGGCTCAAAAGAAGAGATATGAGAAGACTCCACTCTCCCACCCCACTCTTTTGTAGAGATGAGAGATCCACAATATGGGACACATTTTCACACTTTTTCAAAATATTAATAAGTTTTGCCAATTTTTCCTTTAAAAATATTATACTTTATATGGAATGTCTCTGGAAGGGGGAGGATCATTGGGGGAAATTTTGGTGACTGAAAAAAGACAATGAAAATTTATTTTAAAAGAGATCTACAATATTTTTTCTTCTTTGCTTACCTCTATTTCCTCAGTTTCATTATGATTGCTCTAGCTAGCATTGCTGGCCCTGTATCAAATAGTGGTGGTGACAATAGACAACTTTGTTTTATCCCAATTTTATTAGGAAGGACTCTAATTTATCCCCGTTTCATATAATACTGGCTCTTGGATTTTTGTAGATACTATTTACCATGTTGCAGAAAGGTTCATTTATTTCTGTTTTCTAGTGTTGTTAAAATAAATTAATTTGTATCTGTCAAAAACTTTTTCTGCATCCACAGATACAATATAATTTTTGTTCCTCTTGTTATTAATACGGCTAATTATGTTTATAGAAGCAGCTAGGTGGCAGAACGGATAGAGTATTGGATCTGGAGTCAGGAAGACCTGAACTCAGATCTGGCTTCAGGCACTTACTACTAGGTGTCTAGCTCTGGACAAAATACTTAATCTCTGCCTGCCTCACTTTCCTCATCTGTAATATGGAGATAATAATAGCAGTTACATTCCAAGGATTTTGTGAAAATCAAGTGAAATGATATTTGTAAAGCCCTTTGCAAATTTTAAAGTACTATGTAAATGTTATCCTCCTCCACCTCCTTATCCTCCTCATTTTCCTGTTGTTAAACCAACTCTACATTCTGATTATAAATTCAACCAAGTTACAGTGTTATATATCTTCATGATATATTGTGGCAGCCTTTGATAATATTTTATTTAAAATTTTTGCCTCAATGTTCATTAGGGATATTAGTCTATAGTTTTCTTTCTCTATTTTGCCTCTCTCTTAAGTTTCAAGACAATATTTGCATCATAGAAGGAGTTGGATAGAATCCCTTCATTTACTGTTTTTACAAAAAAAAATTGTGTAATACTGGAATTAATTGCTGTTTGGATTTTTTAAAAATAAAATTGTTTCAAACCCATTTAGTCTTAAGTTTTTTCTTTGGGAGTTCACTTTTGGCTTGCTCAATTTCTTTTTCTGAAATTTGGTTGTTATAATTCTCTATTTCTTGTTCTGTTAATCTGAATATTTTATATTTTTGTAAATATTTATCTATTTCATTTAAGTTGTTGGTTTTATTGGCATATAATTGAGCAAAATAATTTCTAATAATACTTTTTTCTTCTTTATTTGATATTTCTCCTTTTCCATTTTTCATACTACTAATCTGTTTTCTTCTTTCTTTTTTAAAAGCAAATTATCTAATAAGTTATCTATTTTATTTCCCCCAATAATTTAGCTGTTAGTTTCATTTATTAATTTCTTTGCTTTCAATTTTGTTAATCCCTTTTTTATTTTTAAGGATATCTATTTTGATATTAAATTGAGGTTTTAAATTTGTTGGTTCTCTATTTTTTTGGTTGCATATCTAATTCATTAACCTAACATTTCTTTTTTTTTGTTGATGAAGGTATTTAGAGACATACATTTCCCCTAAGAACTGTTTTGGCTTTATCAAATTTTTTTTTATATTGTCTCATTTTTGTCATCATCTTTAATATAATTATCAATTGTTTCTATGATTCTTCATATTTGCTTTTTTTT